AATAAGTTCCCAGGAGGTGGCGATGCTGCTGTCCATGGACCACACCTTGGGTAGCATCAATTTAAATAGAACATCAGGAATTAGGAATTGTCTTCTATTAATTTCACTTAATAAAGATACATGTGACCCATCTGTAATTGAAGAACTTTAAAGACAAAAAACAAATAGTTCCATCCAATCAAAGTTAAGCTATAATTTATTTCTCAGTATGCAGCAGGCTCTAGGCTAGGCACTGACAATACAAAGTCAGATAGAATCACATCCTCAGCCTTAAAGAGCTCACACTTACTAAAGTCAGTGGAAATTAACCAGGGGGGAGGGGAAAGAAGGTAGAGGGGAGGGGAATAAACCAATCTAATGGGTAATATGTAAACTATTTGGGTGATGGGCATACCTATAGCTGATACTCAGACATTATAAAAATGATCCATGTAATCTAAAACATTTGTACTCCCTTAATATTTTGAAAATAAATAAATAAATAAATAAATTACAAGTCTCTAAAAAAGAGAGGGAGACAGTGAGAGAGAGAGAGAGAGAGTAAGAGAGAAGAGAGAGAGAGAAGACAAAGCCACATATAACATCTCCAAAATTCCCTTTTTGTAGTGTCCTCTTCTGCTCTCTAAGACAGTTTGTGGCAGTTGCCACTAACATCCCTACAACCCCAAGTGTAATGAAAAGTAGGCTGTAATAAGGAAATAAATAACTCCTCTTACCTACCCCACTCCCCAATCTTATTCTTCACTTCACCCACGAATTGCCACCTTTGACCTTTCAGGTGGGCTCTGCTTCCTAAGACCACCGAGTCACTGGGTTCCCACTATTCCAGGTCTTCTGCACGGCCAACACTCACCTATGTTTAAAGTGACAGCTCTGTTGTCATTTCACTCTGGGATGTCTTTTCTGGCTCTGCCTACAGACTGGATCCCTCCTTTTGTGTCTCTTCATAGCACCCAAGTCAGTGTCGGTGACAGAACTTATCACATAGCATGGCCATTTTCTGTGTATGTATCTGCCTCCCTCACCAGCTGGTAAATACCTTGAGGGAAGGGGCTCTATCTTTTCTTCCTAATGTTTCCAGAGTCTAATGCAATAGCACATGCTGGCCCACGTTTACTGTAATGAACGTGAGAGTAGATGACTGAAGAAGGCATATAAATACAGTAGCTAAGTATCTATACACAGAAAGGGTTTCGTGAGGAGATTAAATTTGAGCTAGAACTTGCATAGAGCAGAGTTTTCGAGGCAGATCCTATGAGGAAGAGGGCCAAGAATGGTCTGAGCACAGACAATAAGATGAGGAGTTTTAAGATCACATTCAGGTTTTGAGCACTAGACTGAGGAATTGGAGCAAAAAGAAGCTGGAAGGATTATAAACAGAGAGGCGAAGTGGTCACACGGACCCCTTTGGGTAATCCCTCCATTAATAGAGTTGGTGACAGACTGGAGGCAAGAGTGTACTAGGAGTGGCATTTTCTAGACACAAGGTACCAGGCTACCTTCTCTGTATATATTAATTAGTGCCATAGCCCCTCACATGCCCCATGAGATGGGCTTTGTCACCACCATCTTACAGGCTATAAAATGTTGGCTCAGTTTTTTAAGGGATGTTCCCAAGTCCTCAGAGCTCATAAGTGACAGAGCTTGGCTACAAATGCAGGTCTGAGCCGAAAGCCAGGTCCCAGTACTTCCTTGGCCCTGGCTTTTGTTGGCATGAGTCTCACTGCTGAATGTGGATATGACACCTCATGTTACTCGTTGACTGGTGTGAGGAAACGCTTTCTCTTGGAGAATTTGCCTCAGTCAATATAGACTTTGGGTAAATGTATGTTGACTGTTTGCTCAAAGCAAACATCATCAAAAGGTAGTGTATATTCTGGTACCAGAAAAACCATCCACAAATATAAATGTGCTAGAAGCAAAACTCCATGATCAAGGCAAATTATCAGGCAATATCCTGACTTCTGTATCCATGTGCTTCCAATACAGCATCTCACAAAAACTGAAAGGGAGGTGCCTTTCCGGCCAGACTAGGAAACAATGAGCAGGGCCATCCAGATGGAGGTACGAGGGGCATTTCTCATCAAGTAGGTGGAACTTGGATGGCCACAGTTAGACTCAGTCTGAGGGAGGCTACTCTAAATCTCCAACCCGAATTTTTACCATCCCAAAGACCCTATATAGCATACATGTAATCATATACTCTTGATCCCCCTAAAAAAGGACCAGCTTCCCCAATCCCTACATTTCCTCTCTTACTGATATCGGGAGTTCATTTGCTTTCCTTCAAAAACTACCCCCACGGCCCCACCTGCCCACCAGGCTTGGATTGCAGCCAACCCTTCCTGAGGGAGCACATGCTGGGAAAAGTAATTACATTTCACTCTAAGCACAATTTCTGTAGCATTCAGAGCAGAAAAATCCTCAAGTACCAGGGATTGTATCTGCCAGGAACTTCCCCGGCAAATGTAGAATCCTGCTCAGCATCACATGCAGCCTGCCCACACCTTCCTGAAGGCAGGATCCAGGAGCTCAGGGGCTTATTGCTAATCAGACCTTGTGATACAAGAACTCAATCCATCTACCTGAGAACTCTACGTCACCCCACCCAAACCATACCCAGACCTGTACATAGACATAGCTGCAATCAAACTATCCTCAAGCATGTATAGTCATGAGATTACACCCTCATCCATATCTCAACTATGTGCCTAAAGGCACACACTCCTTGGAACCATGATATGCCAGCATAAAGAGCCAGAAGCCTATGAAAGTACTCCTGATCTACTAGACAAGTAGTCTCCAAATGTTAATGATTTGTATGTTTATCAGTAAAAACGTTTTTTGAGCATGTAACTCCAATATATGTATATTTATTTATTAATAATACATATATACAGTTCTACTCATATATATTATGCATTATATAGAAAAAAGTACTTTAAATGACAAAAGTGCAATAACTCATGTTCTAAAAATAGATATTTTGTATTAATGAACTACATAACGTTTTTGTTCTCATTTACATATATTATATAGATAAAACATATTTCTATCTATATAATATATAGACATATAAAATATGCTTATAAGATCTGGAAGCCTAATTTCGTATTAGACTTTAGTGGTGAACATATCTAATGAAAATGCTTCCCTAAAACATACAGATCTAGAAAAAAGAGTATCATGGGCTTACTAAAAAAGTCATGATTTCTATACTCATTTTTCAACCTCATTTATACCTTCTCAGGGGGTCTATTCATGTTTTGGATGTGTCATTTTGAAATGTTTTGCAGGAGATAATGAATAGAAAAATATCTAACACCATGGTGGATACATGACATTATTAAAACTACATCCTTTTCTTGCAAATTGTGGAACCTGTAGAGCAGAGTGGTGTGGTATGCCAAAGGAATGCCCAGAAGCAGTGGCAGAGCCCAAGCTCTGGGCTCTCATCACTGTATTCGGTAACTTCTAATCAAATGAGGAGAGGTAGGCAGATGGCAATAGGACTTCCAGGAAGATGCACAGAGCTCTGCCTCATCAAAGCCCAGTGCTTGATCCTGACCAGAATCCTTCATATGCCTCCTTTCCTGGAACATAAAGCTGGTCCCCAAATCATTTCCTATTCCTCTTACTCCCTGATTTAGGCCACCTACTAAAACCACTCAGGTCCACTGAATTTCACCCTCAAGTAAGAAGGGGCCATGGCACCCAAGAGGCACTTGAAGCATTGATTTCAGAGCTGTCCTTTTAAAACTGGAGTTTAACCTTGATGGTAGATTATAAAAATGTGCATGGATTTTCACTCTTCCATCAAGAGATGGTATCTATTTCTCCACCTCAAACCTGGACTGGTCTTGTCATTGCTTTGACCAGTAGAATTCATTCAAAACAGCTTTATGCAATTTCCAAAGCTGGGAATCAAAGGTTTCATGTGTGTCCACTCTTGCTCTTGGAAGATGACTAGGTACCAAGCCCAGGAACCTAGCCCTGAGAGAGGATGAGAGATCACAGAAAGAAGAATCACAGCCCCCAAGATGAAGGTCCAGGCCTGTGAGCAAACCCAGCAGAGATCCGCCAGCCCTGGTCCAATTCAGTAGAATCGCCCAGCTAAGCCCAGTCCAAATTGCCTACTAAGAATCAGGAGCTAACTGAAAGTTGTTGCTTTAAGCCACTAAGTTTTAGGGTGCAGCAAAAGCAAACTGACCCTTGTTTTGGTCACTAATTTGCTCTGTTATCTTGGACACATAACAAAGTCAGTTTCCACAAACTTTGGTTTCCTTATCAGTAACATGGCGGAAGTAGTAGCAGCCGCTGTGAGTACATGTAGTTCAAGTTTGCATTTAGTTGCATTATATTAATATAACCATTCCCCATCTTCATTGTTTACAATGATTCTGAAAGGTCAATCCATCATGAAGATTTATTGAGATCATGCACATAAAATGACAAATTCAGAGCACATCTGCAAAACGATAGAAGCAACTGAAGCAACTAGACTTTATGCATTTAAAGAGGACATTTACAAATACCAACCTTCTCAGTGTTTGAAACATCTAGGCACAAGTCAGATAATATGTGGTTTTGGGAAAATGGATGGTCCCCATAAATACTGAGCATACAGATATCTTTTTATCAGAGGTATACAGGCAAGCTTCATTTCCCATAAATTCACTCTCCTTTAAAATACACATATTTCACGGAAAGAGCAACTGAGAAGAGAGAAGGTACAAGGGAGTGCAGGAGGAAGAAGATAAATTAGCATTTTCTAGTCTGTCAATACAAGGTTTATTTTCAGATGCAATAAAGGTTTGAATTTTCAACTTGGCAAGAAAACATAATGAAAATCCTTTCCTCATTAATCTCAAATTGCCTATAACCTGCCCTTCCCACATACACCTCCTCCTAGGGAAATAAACATGCGCATGCGCGCGCACACACACACACACACACACACACACATACACACACAAATACAAATTGTGAAGAATGCTTACCCTCTCTGAAAAAGATCCACATTATAAAACTTATGTAGCTCTACAGAAAACTCCACCGTTCCTTGTACTTCAGACATGATCCTTTTGGTTCATTACCTGAAAAACAAGAAAGAAATTAACAACTTGATATCACATCAGCCAAACATAGAGAACCTGGCTTCTACAACAGGAAACCACTAGTGTTCAGCTGGACAAAAATATCTGACCAAGAAGACCCAAGGAGTAGCATATGTCCACTGAATATCACCAATCAGGGCTCCTGTTATAGAAGAAGACACAGAGAGATGAAATGACCAGAATTACTTGCTTAATGTCACACAGCTCACACCTGAAAGGACTGAGACTCAGACTCACATATCCTAACTCCAAAGCCTGGCTGGTCCACTGCCACCTCCTACCTATAAGTACTATGCAGGCAACAACACCCCAGCTAAGAGCACATCCTTCATGACTAATGGCGTAGAATCCCTACCCTCCCACTTTCCAGCTGTTTGACCTTGAGCAAGTCACTATACTGCTGTTAACCTCAATGCACTCATCTGTAACATGAGGACTGGTAATAGCAAATAACACTGATAGATGATGGGAAAATTAAATAAATGGATCACACTAATCATTATGCATGGTCACTGACATATAGTAAATGCTCAGTAAATGGACTGCCATTAGTAATAATTAATGATTTTATCATTGATATTTTTTTTTTTATTTTGGCATACTATGGGGGTACAGATGTCAAGGTTTTATCATTGATATTTTAAGTGCAGTCCATAAAGAGTGAAGGTGGCTGGAGTGACTAGGACAAAAGCATGTTCTATCAAGCACAGGACACAAAGCCCAACAGGAGCTGCTGAAAACTTTCTAAGCCAAGAGACCTGAGGGATGACAATAAGAGAGCTGGGTGGGAAAGATGAAAGGGAATAAAATTAAAATAGTCCACATCTGGGACAAGAAACAAACCAAGAGGGACATTTAAAGCAGGGCATGATTTCTGAGAATATGAAATCACACAGACACCAGGAATGTGCAGGAAAGGAACGAAACTGACTTATATTGAACACCTGCTATATTCTTATTGCTGCATGAAGTATTTCATATAAGTTGCCTGATTTTTTTTTTCAACAAGCATTTTGTGATAAAGATTCTTGCCCCATTTTTCAGTTAAGGAAAAAGGATCAAAGCAGCTCTGACCTGGAGCCACTTTCCAACAGTAGGATGTTTTAGTGGTGTGCCCTTGAGTAAGCCTCCTCCCTTTCCCCAAGCCTCTATTTGCCATCATATGTAGTGGGGACAATGCAAGCTACTTAGTAGGATTCCCAATAGGATAGGTCATTGGCTGCCGTGCACCCAGCACCTGGGAAGTTCTCGGTGGCTGGCATGACCTCTGGAAGGGAGAGATGAGAAAGGAGGGGGAGGATGTAAGAGAACACTTGGGCTCTCCCAGCTGGCAAGTGGTGATTTGCATCTATCACCTCGGTCTCCTTTCAAAGCCCTCATCTCTCTGCCTCCAACATGCTTCAGGGAACAGATCACCCCATGGTTCAGAGCCACGTGCAATTAACAGGGCCATGCTAGGCCATCTCCCATGAATAAGAGCAGGAGGGATTAACTAAGCCTTAACTGCATCTCAGTCCTGCCAAGGGTTCCATCCGGGGAAACATTTCTGAAGACGCAGCAGGCTGCATACCAAATTAAAATGTAGCAGATCCTAGGAACCAACCTCTATAAATTCCGCAAGACAGAATTTCAATCTGGCAAACCTGGAAAGGCTTGGCTCACAAAATGTGCTGAAAACCCATTTCCCTAATAGGGAAATGGAGCCACTGAGGTGCAGCCTGGCCCTGCCTAACCCACCGAGCCACTGGATTTCCATCTTAAGGCACTTCCAGAAAAAGCTGGATGGAGGGGTCGGCAGAGAGAACCACCCAGTGCTTCCATCACGATCACATCAAACAGCCTCTGCTCCATTCTCCTCATTTACTCATCACTCCACTCAGTCTGAATCCTCAGAAAACTGCAGAGTTGGCAAAGCCCTCTGACTCCTTGCTTGTGGTTGTTGGCTTTCAATCTCCCAGGCCCCTCTCCTGATCTCTGAGTCTAGCAAGGAGAATATTCAGAAAAAAGGACAAAGAGAGAGCGAGAACAATGCTCCCCAACTTGGCTCACCTACCACGTGCCACACACTGTTGGGGTTTCCATTCATCATGCTGCACAGTCCTCAGAAACCCACTGCAGTGCATGGTGTGGCCGTGATTGGCAGGGGATCCTGATGCCATTCAGGGGAAGAGCCCCTGAGTAGCCAAAGACCTGGGTTTTCCAGCTTCAGCATGTTCTGGTATAATGGCAAGGACAGTATATTTCTGAGGAATTAATATTTAGGAGAAAAATACTTAATGCTTGGAGAATATTCTTTTCTCCTTGGAAAACGCATCTTACCATCCTATTGTTCAGGACTAATAAGATCATGCCCTACAACTTGTAAACATGGACACTACTTCTTGGTGGGAAGCTGCCTTTTCCTTTATTGTAGCAGGGGATTCATTATAAGCAAATGCCCAGTAATTCAATGAGGAAGATGAGCTTACATTTAAACTATAGCTTTTACAACTCCATGTTGATTTTACTAGTACCCATTCTTGGTCTACTTTGAGTTCAGTAATTCAAAACCACCTGCTTTGGTACCAACCCCCTTCCCATTCTTTCTATCTAAGGATTAGAGAGAAGATACTAGAGTCCTCAGACCAGCAGCATCAGCATCCCTTCATTAGGAAAGCTACATCTCCAGTCCTAGCCAGACCTACTAACTCAGAACCTGCAGGGAGGAGGCTCAGGGATCTGTGTTTTCACAAATCCTGCAGGGGATTCAGACGCAAACGTTTGAAAACCTCTGCCTTAGAGACTAGAGTTTTGGAGTTAACTTGATTACTTGTGAGCTGCATGAGCTTAGACCCATTGCTTAATCTCTCTGTTCCTCTGTTTCCTTATGGCTAAGGGGAGTATCCAGTGTTGTCTCCATGATCAGCAGAGAAAGAGGGTGTGGAGTGTTTAATGTAGTGTCTGGCACATGTGAGAACACATATGTGATGTGCACACAATACGTGGCATGTACCCAACATACATATACACTCAAACACACAGGCACAGGCAATATAGATAACACAGACACACCATGACAGCCAACCCGCAGCACACACAGACACCGTGTGCCCAACACCGCAGATGTCTTCTCTGCACTGACTTCCTATCACGACCAATGCCACCCATGATTCCAGTGATCTCAGTCACTCCACTACATTCAGTGTGACTCTCAAACGCTCCGCTTCACAACTGCAGGTCCTGGAAGCTGTGTGTCTATGGAGCTTCAAGGCAGACCTTGCCCTCACGGTGCAGAGACTGGGGAAGGGTGATCCAGTGGCAGGCATGGAAAGAATGATGGGGGCTCTGAAAAAGCAAGGACCGAGGTTTTAGGGGCTTAGGCAAGGCCTCCCTAAAGGAGAGGTCGGCCTAGGAATGAAGAGGCCTTGGTCATGGCTCTGTCCAGGGTCGCCAATGTGGATCTCCCACTGTTCTGAAAGTGAGGTGAGTCCCATAGCAGGTCTTGAGGACCTCAGCTCACCCAGAGTCCATACAGCTGCCCTTGGTGCTGCCTTCACACTGAGTGGCCTCCCTGGACCACCTGGTCACTGCTTGGTTCTGGTAGCACTGCTCATGGCTGGCACCCGTGTGCATGCAACTTGCCCCTAGTGTACCATATTTTAGGAAAACACACTTAGAGAGGAGGGTGAGGGGAGAGTGGCGGCCCCCTGAACCACATGCCCAGAGGTCAACACAGGCTTCAGAGCAGCTTTCCTTATGGACAGCAGAAGGAATGATCTGTCTCTAGAGCAATATACACAAAGGCTCCAGAACCAGGCACTTGGGTTTCCACTAACCCTGAGTGACCCTGGAGTCATTACTCACTTCCCCAGGCCTCATTTCCCTCATCTGTGAAGTGGGGATAACAGTAACGCCTACTCCATGGGGTTACTGTAACCATTAAATTTATTAATACATCTAAGGCATTGAGAATTGAGCCTGGCATATAACGAACCCTCAGTAAATGTAGACTATTTTTAGTGTTGTTACAGAAGGTAGAACTAGAAGACAGTGTGGAAGAAAGTACAGCGAAATTACAGCCCTGCTTGGTTTTCATTCATTAAAGAGAATCTCAATTGATCGTGGCTTATCGACCTGCTCCGTCTGGGCGCTTTCTAGCCATCCCACTGCCAAGGAGGGATGGGTCTGTTCCATGAAGCAATGACTTCCCCACCACTAGGGGTGTCCAGGCAAAGGGAGGGACCCACTTTTACAGGCTGCTGGGTCCCTGCCTTGAGTTTAAACGATGATTAAACTCCCTTTTGTCCATAAGGTTCTAATATCCCATCTTGTTATCCCTTTATCTTCAGGCAGGCCGTCTTGATCTCTAATTCATGAGGAACAAAAAGGGCAGAGCTAAGGACCACAAGGTGATGTCACAGAACCTTAGATTTGATCTCTGCCACTTTATTAGTTACCTAGAACGTCACTTCTCTCTGAGCCTAGGTGTCTGCCTCTGCACGTGCAGGGAAATGCCCTACTCAGGAATGATACACAACGGGAACTAATTAAACACATTCTTGAAAAGTATTAAAAATGTTTGCATCGTCAATAGGGTCTTGTCAAAGTAATGAAGAAAAAATATTTTGGAAACAAACACATCACTTACCCCTCCTTGAGGAAAAAGAAGATGAGGCTGTTAGTGCCTATAAAACAGGAGTCATTGTCTATTTATGGATTTCTGAGCAAATGGTATCTGGTAAACGGTAGATGTTCACAGAAACTGGTGGAATTAAGGAATAAAAGGTAGCATCAGAAAACAGAGCTGTGGCCAGAGCATGACTATGGAAGGAGGACAGAATTCAACCATGAAAATCAAAGTAAGACACAAACAGAATAGGAACCATGTAAGAGTCAGAACAGTGATGTGGGTCATGGGGAACAGAAGCAAGTTCTTCACCAGTACAGGTATCTAGAAAGAGGCCAGGCAGGTATGTCCTTCCTAGACTTAGCTGGGACTG